GAGCCCTGTCCAAGGTGCTGAAACTCCTTTTTCTCCTATTAATGCATGTGAGGCAGTCAGTCAATAAGCATTTAGTAAGCATTGTATGCTAAGTGCTAGGGTTACAAAAGGAGTCAAAAGACAGTCTCTGACCATAAGAAGCTCACAATGGGGGAAGAAAACAGCAAACAAATATATACAAACAAGCTCTGTACAGAATAAATAGGAAATAATTAAAAGAGGGAAGGCACCCAAACTAAAAGGGGTTGGTAAATGCTTCCTGTATATAAGATTTTAGCTGTGACTTAAAAAGGCCAGGGAAGCCAGTAGGCAATGACGAGGAGGAAGAACATCTGAATCATGAGGAACAGCCAGAGAAATGGCCTGGAGTCAAGAGATGGAATCTCTAGTTTGTGGAACATCAAAGAGGTTAGTGTCACTGGATCAAAGAGTACATGACAAGGAGTAAGGTATAAGAAGATGGAAAGGGAGGAAGCAATTAAGTTATGGGGGGGCTTTGAATGTCAAAGAGAAAATTTTGTATTTCATCCTGGAGAGAATAGGGAGTCTTTGGAGTTTATTGAAAACAAAGGTGGCTGGATTTGCACCTTAAGAAAATCACTTTGGTGGCTGAATGGAACATGGATTAGAATTGGGAAAAATTTGAGGCATGTAGACCACCAACAAGCTATTTCAATAGTTTAGGCATGAGGTGATGAGGGCCTGCAACAGAGTGACAAGTGTCACAGGGGAGAAAGGGAAATGTTTTAGAGATGTTGCAAAGATGAAATCAACAGGCCTTTGCAACAGATGGGATACGGGGAGTGAAATATAGTGAGGAGGCAAGAATGATATTTAGGTTGTAAGCCTGAGGGACTGGGAGGTAGAAGGTAGAAGGGTAGAACTTAGGAGGAAATATAAATGAGTTAGATTCTGTTTAAGATAATTAAGATAATGAGTCATGTTCAGTTTAAGATGTCTACTGGATATCCAGTTTGAGATGTCTAAAAGACACCTGAAAGACATGACTGGAGACTCAAGATTCGAGGTTATAAGAGAAATTGAGGCAGGAAAGATCAGCTTGAGAATCATTAGCACAAAGATGGTAATTAAATCCAGGAGAGCCGATGAAATAACCAAGTGACAAACAAGCAAACCCACTATTCTGAGGAGTCCATTGGCATCACCAAATTGCCAAAGGTGTCCATGACACAAATAAGGTTAAGAGCCCCAGTTCCAGGGTACACAGGCTAGGTACTGTGAGGCACCTTGAACAGAAAGTGTCCTAGGAACAGTGGTTCCAAACTCAAATAGAAATGGAGCCACTAAATGTATATATGGCTTCCTGCAGGAGCATATTGACTTAGAAAATTACATATTAACATTCTATTATTAATATTATATATAATATAACTATGATATAATATTAATTAACATTAATATTCTATTGTATATTTATTTTGTTAAATATTTCCCAATTACATTTTAATCTAGTCCTGGTTGTACTTGGGACTGTTGTTCCAGGAATTGTGTTTGATCAACACATCTGTCCTAGAAGGCAACTGATGGAGGAGAGTGCCCCATCAGTTTACCCTACCCCAGCAATATCAATATCTGTATGCCTCTTTATAAACCACTCTGGAACAGGATGGGGTTAGTAGGGCATGGTGTGGAGTATATATACCAAAAGACAGAGACACGACAGAAATTCCCGGAAACTAATCTGCAGAGAAAAATATACTGCCCTCTTCCTAGGTTCCCCATCATAGTACTTGGAGTTGGAAGTAATCCTGGAGGTCATCCAGTCTTTATTCCCTCATTTTATAAAAGAGGAAACGAAGGCCCCTAGATAGGTGAAGTAACATATCTGAGGTCATACAGAAAATTGGAATTATCCTCAAATTGGATCTCAGGTGCTGCAATTCCCTATCTGTCTAATCTAGGACAGATGGGACTTAGGGAATATGGATACCTAGGCTCTATGAGGCCTAATTCTATGAGATTTTCCTAAGTTCCCTCAGAGATCTCTCCCTCCTCTGAACTAAATTAGCAGTTACTGTCTATGCCACTTGCTTCTTGTATAGCTACATGTACCTATATCCTATCTCCCCATCAAGATCTTGAGCTCTTTGAGAGTAAGAGGCATGCACTAGCCAAGTTGGTATCCCCGTCAATGCCTTGGATAAGACTGGGCACATAGGAGGTCCTCAGTAAATGCTTACGTATTAATTAGTTTGGCTTATTGAAGGGAAATGAGGATGGCCTGCTGGCAGAGCTGCAACAAAGAACTGTTGTGACTCAGACAAGTACTTGAAACCAACCCAGGTCAAGGGGCTTGAAGTTTAACCTCAGTGAAGGGGAGGGGAGAGTGGGATATTGCCCTGAGGGTTACTGAGACCTGATAGGAAGTCTTTGGAGAAAGAGGAGAATCACAGTGGGATAAAAGAAGGGTTTACCCCTATCATATCTTCTGATGACTTCTTAGTTTATTTTTTAACACGCTTATTTATTATTTTTCATGTATCTATGGATATAAAAATATTTCCCAAAAATCTTAAACAATAAAACTCTTATCTTAAATATGCGACAAATTCCCACATGGGCTATACCCAAAAATGTATGCTACTTTCTGTTTTAACTATATTTCCTAATTCCTACTAAATTCTGTTGTTTCTAGGTTCTAAATAACTGTACTATTGACAATCTCTAAACTTGGATCCCTAGGGCCAAGGCCTATGTTACCAAACCCTAGTTATAGTTCAGACTGTTGGGGCTACCAGTGGGACCTAACCACATAATGAAGACTTCCTACTAAATAAGGAGGGACCCTGGAAAATCCTACTGTGCAAATCACCTCACAGGAACTGCCAAGGGGGAAGGAGCAGCTAGGTGGTGAAACAGATAGTTCACCAGCCCTGGAGTCAGGAGGACCTGAGTTCAAATCTGGTCTCAGACCACACACTTCACACTTACTAGCTGTGTGACCCTGGGCAAGTCACTTAACCCCAATTGCCTCACCAAAAAAAATGCCAAGGGGCAGAATCATCCAAAGCTAGGCCCCTGAGCCCCTAGAATCACAGAACTAGCAAAGACATCTCTAGCTCTGGTGAGACTGCAAATGGAGGCATGGAGCAGAAGCTAAATTAGACACCAAGCAGTGTATACTTACCAAACTGCATTGAATTAAGAACTGGGGCTTTTGCAAGATGTTTCCCATGTGCACCCTGCCATTGCTCCTGTCTGCCTTCTCCTGCCTAGAAATAGACACATTTAGGCACACAGACACATGTGCTGGACTTGGATTGCGGAAGACTTGAGTTTCAATCTGGGGATACTTGCTATGTGACCCTGGGCAAGTCATTTGGCCCCCTCTAGACTTTTCTCATCTGTCAAATGAGGGATTTGTGTGGGATGACCTCAAAGGTCTCTCTGAGCTCTAAAAATCAATAATCTGATCCAAACATAAATTGCCATAACAATGCAAAGCCCTGTGCAACTCCCTGTAAAGGACCACTCTCCCCCTCCTTCCCTCACTGCTACTTCTGCCATTATGCACTCAGACTAAGTGGATACAGGAAGAGGGAGGAGGAGATCAAGAGCTTCAAGTAGAAACAGATGGATTTGGAACTGAGGATGCTCAGCCCACACCTGTCCAAGGCTCTGCGGTTTGTATTTCATCAGAATCAAGGCACCTGACAACCTTGGGAACAGCCTGCCCCTCAGAGAGACTACAACCCCAGAAATACTCAGCCGTAAGTGACCAGGGGAGCAGTGGGCATGCAGGCTCTGGAGTGTCGTCTAACCTACTCCTCATCCCCTACTTGCTTCTACTTTGTTGCAGAACAAATGTCCTGAAAGACTAAGTAACCCTCAGTCTCACTCATAAAATAGCCCAACTCTCTACCTGAGCTGCATGCCCTGGCTGTCAAACCCATATCAGACAAAAGCAAATGTATGCTGTTTATTATCACTTGATATGCCCATTTAGGTATGGTCAAGGGTTTGAGGTAGGGGGTGTGTCCAAAAGGCCCTGCTGTGTAAAAATGCCACCCCTGCCAGCTATCTTTGAGGTCTGAAACCTCTACTGTTGAAGTCATGCTTTTGGGCTAAGGCATGGTCTCTAGAAAGCCATTGGTGATGTAGCATGGAAGGAGTAACATATTAGCACCCGCTATCCTAGTATGATCTAATGAAAAGAGCACCAGATTTGGAGTTAGGAGAACTGATATGAATCATGACCCTTATCCCTTGTGTTACCTTGAACAAATTCTGTCTTTGCCTATCACTGAGCCTCAGTTGTCCTCTTCAGTAAACTGATAGCATTGAACTAGACCTTTAATTTCCCTTCGGGTTCTTAATCTATGAAAGCTAAGTGATGAAGTGGATAGAGCTCCATGCCTGTAATCAGGAAGACCTGAGTTCAAATCTAGTTTCAGATAATTACCAGCTGTGCAACCTGAGCAAGTCTCTCTGCTTCAGTTTTCTCATCTGTAAAATGGGGCTAATAATGGCACCTTCCTCCCAAGATTGTTTCCAGGATCAAATGGAATAATATTTGTAAGGTGCTTAGCACAGTGCCTGGCACATGGTAGATGCTTAATAAATGTTTGTTTCCTTCTTGTAATTTATTTATCAGAAAAGTCAGCTGGCTACCACTGAGCAGACAGCAGGCTTCTCACAAGAGTCAAGAGTTTTAGTGGTTGAGAGGAGCTAAATAAAGGTTTCAGAGCATAGGGTGCTACTGAGGAAGACAGACCTCATGGGGAGCCCTGTCCAGACAGGGGCAACATGACAGGAATAAGTGCCAAGATTGGGTTTTGGTGCCAAAAGGGAGCAATGGGACAGAGTAAAATGGTCCAGACACCTAGTTTCCAAAAGGGGTCAAGAACAATAAAACATGGTTCATTAAATGGAGCACTGGATTTGGAATCAAAAGAATTGGATTCAAATCCCAACTCTACCTCTTACTAAAGGTCTATCCTTAAGAAAATCATTTAACTTCTTGAGCGAAGTTTTCTTACCTGTAAAAATAAAGGGTGACAGGAGTTAGACCAGATGAACTCTATCATCCCGTGGTCATTTCTAGGAGTCCCAACATTCACCATACCAACTGCCTCCTCAGGTCCTACAGAAGTCTCTCCCTCTTTCCATAGCTTTTAAGGAGCAGCCTCCTAATAAGAACAGTGATAACAGTAAAAAGAAAGGAAGAAGGAAGGGAACGAGCATTCATTAAGTACCCATTATGTTTTAGGCATTGTGTTAAGCACTTTACAAATATTATTTCACTTGATCCTCACAACCACCTTGGAGGTAGGTTCTACTTTTATCCCCATTTTACACTTGAGGAAACTGAGGCATAGAGAGGTTAAGTGACTTGCTCAGAGTCACACAACTAATAATAATTATAATACAATTAGCTGATATTTAAATAGTGCTTTAAAGTTTATGAAGCATTTCGCATACATCATCTTGAGCCTCACAACAATTCTGTGAAGTAAGTGGTATTATTATCCCCATTTTACAGATGAAGGAAACCATTGGTTGAGAGAGTTTAAACTGATACGTGTGAGGTAGGATTTGAATCCAGGTCTTCCTGACACCAAGTCTAACACTTAACAATTTCACATTGCTTCTTTAGTCTTAGCACTGTTTCTACCTGCAGCACTCCCTTCCCATATGACAGACCTCGTACTAAGTCCAGAAAAAAAAAACACATTGGATTTAGAATCGTAACTTTAGAGCTGCAAGGGACCTGAGAGGTCAACTAGTTCAACTCAATTTACAAATGAGAAAACTGAGGCTCAGGGAAATTAATGACTTCTTCAAGGTCATGTAGATAGTAAGCATTAGAGATAGGATTTGAACCTATGTTTTCTGATTTAAAGAGCAGGGTTCTTCAAAATGTACCAAGTTACCACACTACTTATTTCATGGAGCAAATCACTAACTCTCTCAGGCATTTTGCCTGTAAAGTGAACAGGACTCTAAAAGCTCACTCCTTAACAGTCTTTGAGTGTGACAATTCTCACACTACACCTACTTCTCTTCCTTTCTCTCCCACCTGCTCCATAGGAGAACAAAAACCATCTTGGGAATGGAAAACAAACAGTAATCAAGCAGAGAGCAGGAGAGCCAGAGAGCATGGGCGACCGCCCCAACCCCACCCTCAACCCCAGCTGGGGATTCTCTTACTGGTTACTGCAGTGAACCATCAGGAAATCTGCTCACAGTTGCTCATCCACCCATCCATGGTCCAGGACCGCCTCCTTTCTCCCTTGCCCCTCTCCTCCTCTCCAATGTCAGCCTAGAGAGTTTGGTCCAGATTCCTAATCTTTACACAGTCACCTTCGAACTGAACTTGGGGCCTCTTGGGTGCAGAACTCCAGGTGCCCGTCTGTCTCCTTCCGGAAGCAGCGGGAGCTCACTGCGCGGCCCATTTTTCAAAGTTTGACGTCAATTTGCTGCCTTAGATTGGTTTTTGTTTCTCTGTGGTTTGTTTTCTTTTTGGTGATGAATGGTTATTGTCAAGGAGACTTAGAAGAAGCGATAGGCAGGACGTGGAGGTGGGGGAGGAGATATCAACATGGTGTTTTTGTTGGGTTATTATTTGTACTTTTTTTTTTCTTTTAGGTAAGAAAAAGGAGAGGAAAGAGAGGAACCTGAGGTCAGTGTCTGGACACTATATGATGGTCCCAGGGGTCCCAGTCTCCTACAACATCCCCAACCACAACATTCCTATCTTGGAAAAGCCAGGGTACCCCTTCTTTTCCCTTCCCCCTACCCCTCTACACACACACACTCACACTCACACACACACACACACACACACACACACACACACACACACACACACACTCCTGGTCCTGGAGACAGGCAGCATGTCACAGCCATTGCTGCTGATGCTGTCAACCGCAGATAAATACAGCCAAAACAGACCCAGAAAATTATTTCCTCTTAATGGAAAAATTATCAGGCTCCAAGCAGCCTGATCTGAGGGCTTTTAGAAAGAGAAATATACTTCAGCCTCCTCTCCAGCCCCCTCCCTTCTTCCCTGCTAGTCCCACTGGGGGCCTCTGCAAAAACCACCCCTTCCTAGGGCTCTTTGACTGGGAGAACAGACACCCCCACTTTACCTAGAATTTTAGGCTTAGAATCCTAGATTGTCAGGAACCTTGGAGATCACTGGATGCAACCTTCTCATTTAGCAGTTCAGGAAACTGAAGTTTAAGTAAATGGGCTCTGGTCTTGAGCTGGTTAGGGGCAGATTTGGACCAAAAACTCAGCTCTACTGACTCTTGTTCTCATGATTTTTCCCCAACACCCTGCTATCTAGATGCCTGACCAAGCCTGCTACTTAGTTTTACAGAGTCCTTTTTGTCAGCCCCATAGGCTTCCCTGGGCCTTAAGGGGAAACCAAGACCCAGGCAAGGCCTGTCCTTAATAGAGACTGCAGCTGGGTCCTCCTCGAAATTTTGTCTTCTTGGCCCATGCTACTTCCTGACTTTGGAGTCTCCTCACTTTGGATTCAAGAACAGAGAGGGTGGGCTGAGAAGTGGCTCTGAGGCTTGGAGCCTTTCTGCACCATTGCCTCAGGTGCACAGATTGCTAACCAAGCCCATATACCTTTAGCAATCTCTTATGAATACTTGGGCAAGGATCAGGATCAGAAGCAATCTGAGGTCTCTTTAACCTGACCTTTCCTTATAGTCTACTGAGTTCTGCTTTAGCTGCCAGGGACCAAAGAAGCTCTCCTCAGTCTAAGCCCATCTCCCAGGTATCTTTACCTGTTGAGTGTGCTAGAGGATGGGCTGCCTGTGTCCTTGCCTGCTGCTGGCCATATATAGAGGCTGTCAAGAATTGCCATGTTCTTTGTTCATGGGTAAATGTAAACCACCTCTCTGAATTCTAGGAGATGATCTGGATCTGAAGCATAGTGTTGAAATAGGAAGAGTACCAGATCTGGAATTAGACAACCTGAGTTCTAATTCTGACTCTGATACTTATTAGTTGTGTGGTCATAGTGAAGTCAAATGACCTGTGTTCAAATCCTCTCTGAGTCTTATTGCCTGTGTGATTTTGGGCAAGTCATTCAGTTTCCTTATGTATAAAACAAATACCTTCTCAGGGCCTTTACAGCTCAGGATCTGTGATCTTATGATTTGGTCAACTAGGAACATATTTCCAGGGTGGCAGAAAAGTCACCATTCCTCTCTGGATCTCAATGTCCTTATCTGTAAATGACAGTCTTGAATCTGATGGCCTCTAACAGCTTTAAAAGATGATGGGAATGGGGAGTGGACAGTGGATTAAAAGGGAATCCAGATAGGAGAGAAGAGAGAAAAAAAAGAGTTTTAAGTTCAATCATAGCTTTACACCAGGCGAACTGTTTCTTGTATAGATCAGAAAACTCCAACTAGATCAGAAAACTCAACCTAGATCAGAAGTATGAGTTGACAATCAGTAGCCTGGACAGACATTCCTCAGCCGGAATCACCAGTAGAGACATAACCAGTAGAGAAATAATATAGTCATTTGGGCCCAAGGCAAGCAACATAGAAAGTATCCTCGAATAAAAAAAAAATTAAGAGAAATTCAGTAGGAACACCTCAGAAAGACATCTGGGGAGATATCCTAGACACTGCCCACCATCCTACACACCCATCAGAAGAGCCTGTCAGATGATGTGTGATTATAAAGTAACATGGCAGATTTTCTCATACACATATCCAAACTCTGTGATGTAGTAGACATCACTGGATTTGAAGTAGGAAGATGGCAGTCTGAATCCCAAGTTGGCTTCTTACTACCCCCATGATCTTCAATGAGGTTTAACCTCTATATCTCAGGTTCTTCTTCTGCAAAATGAGGGCGCTGCCTCCAAGATCCCTTCCAGCCCTCAATCGTATGATCAGATAAAGTTTTATGTTCAGAAAAACAAACAATGACTAAGGTAAGGCAACCGGGACTTTGTCCCAAGGATAATTAAACTTGCAGGGTACCAACAGTGCTTGTGCTCCTCAGGCACATAGAAACAACTGAGCTTAACACCAGCTTCACAAGGAAAATTCATTAAAATAAGGAAGCCGCCAGCTGACAGCTTGGCAAAGCAGAAAGAGCACTGAACCTGGAATGAGAAAGACTTGAGTTTGACTTTCACCTCAGTTACTTATGGACTATGTGATTCTGGGCAACTCAATTTCTCTGCTCTTTAGTTCCCTCATTGTAAAGAGAAAATGAAAATAATCACATTTAACTCACAGGGATGATGTGAGGATCACAGGATACTGATGCAAAGTGTATTGCAAACCTTATTTTAATTTTTAATATGTTTAACATGTTTTTATTGAGGTTTTCTTTTGTGTACTTTATGTCGCCAGGGTTTTCCCCACTACCCTCCTCTCTTTCCCAGACACCCATTCCATATGACAAATAATAATTTTAAGATGAAAAAGAGGAAAATCTCAGTACATAAAACGTCTGAAAATACATGAAATGTGCAACACTTGTAGACCTCTCACCTCTGCAAAGGTGCAAGAATGTCTTCTCTTATCTCTTCTTTCCAGCCGTGTTTATTCTTTGAAATTTTGCAATATTCACTTTTGATTTTGCGTGTGTAGTTGTTCTTTCCATTTACATTCTTGCAGTCATTGTGCCTATTGTTTTCTTCGCTCTGCTTACTTCACTCTGCATCAGTTCATTTAGATCTTTCCATGCTTCTCTGTATTTGTCACATTTATCACTTCTTACAGCAGTGTAACATTACATTATGTTATAAATATTTTAAAAGACCATGTACATGTGAACTGTTTTTATGACATGATCTCCTGCCCCTCGTTGACTAAACTTCAAGAGAAATGACCCTTCTTCTCTTTTCCCTACTCATCTTCCCAACAGTAGCCTCCTCAGGAGCAGTTTTGCAGAATTTCCTCCCAAGTGGGCTGGTGTTTCAGAGTCTCTGTCTGAATTTGTTTTTAAAAGTCTGTCTGAGAACAGCTTTCATGTTGCTCTCTCTACTTGCTAGGGATACTTTGTGGTTTTTCCCCACTGATCCAAAAGTGCTAGTGATGATTATACATATAAGGGTTGTTCCTTCAAAGTCACCACCTTATGACATAATGCCTTAGGCATGAAGGGAACAATCTTCTTGGCTGTTTTTCATGTCTTCTTAACTAACACCTTTCTAAAAGACCCTATACAAATAATAAATAACCAAGACACGATTCAAGCCTGGGTGTCCTAACTCTAAATCTGTTCCCTTTCCTCTACATCGGGCTGCAGTTGACCAGGCTGATTCTACCCTCCCGTGAATCTTAGTTCCTTCACCTACTGTTCTAAGACTAAACCAGGGGCCTACACTAAATGATTTCTCCATGTGGTCATTCATACTGCCCAACAATGCCCATTACTGTCTCCATCATTGCCTAGAACACACCTTGATTAACATTACAACCATACAGTCACAAGAAGAAATTGTGGTTTTCTGTTTCAAAGCATTCCCCCACCCACCCCACTGGGTTTTCCACTGGTTTACTGTTTTCTCTCTAAGAGTCTGAAAGGCACCCCAACTATTAATTTATTAATAATACAGAGATGATGAATACACCCTAAGCCCAAATTTAGTAGAGGTTACACGCTCTACCTACTCCACAGGTTTAGTGACTCTCCCTTCCAGGAGCTGCCCAGCAGAGAGGTCACTTCCCAGAATCCCTTCATTAGCAATAGTGATAATGACATTTATACAGAGCTTTAAGGCTAGCAAAGCATTTTTAATGTGCTATCCCATTTAATCCTCATAATAACCCTTTGAGGTAGGTACTATTATTATCCTCATTTTAGAAATGGGGAAACTGGGACTGAGAGAGGTTAAGTGATTTGCCAGGGGGAGCTACAACTGGTAAAGTGCTTGAATTCAAACTCAGGTCTTCCTAACTCCAAATCCAAAGTGCCATACACTGGGCTACCTAGCTGTGAGTTTGTAGTATCAACAATGCTTTTTAGACATAATTGACAAAAGAAGATTTCTACCCACAATAAGACGGATTTTTTTTTTTGGTGAGGCAATTGGGGTTAAGTTACTTGCCCAGAGTCACACAACTAGTGAGTGTTATGTGTCTGAGGCCAGATTTGAACTCAGGCCCTCCTGACTCCAGGGCCAGTGCTCCATAAGAGGGGTATTTTAACATAAGGTTCTATACTTCTTCCCATGGTGTTGCCATTGTGCAGAGTATTTGGGGAACTCTTCCTTGTGGGTTGCTTTTGGAGGTTTTGGCACATTGGGTATCCCCCACCTTTTGAGGTTTGACTTGATTTTTAGAAACAGCCTATCCTAGTCTAAATTACTTTTGGATGCAGATTAGCCAGTGATGCAAAAAAAGAT